TGAGTCAGCTCTTCAACCGGAATAAAACTTTCAGTTCTTGTCATGATGACATGCTGCCCCCTCCTCCACCTCTTCCCCCCCCTTCCCTCCTGCTCCTCCTCCTCTTCCTTGTCCTCCGTGGAGCTGACAGAGTTGGCCCTGGACCACAGATCATGCCTGTTTAAAGCCAGCGTCCTGCGGTCTGAACCAGTGTGAGACCGGGCATCTCGCTGCCCCATTCCACAGCACATGCTTTTCCCATGATGCTCGGTGAGTCAGTCTTGGCTTCGGTTCAACAGCTCCCAGTGCATTTGGGCAGAAATGCAGCATGGGAAAGAGAGAGAGCAGAGAAAGGCTGCCATCGACGTCTCAGCTGTCAGAATGTGTGTGTGTGTGTGTGTGTGTGTGTGTGTGTGACTTCATATTTTTGTACTTAAAAGGGAATTCTGGTATTTTTAGACCCTTTCCCTCTTTTTTTTTTTTTTTTACTTCATATTTGAAAAGTTTTTGTACCTGTTGGTGATTCAGGGCGTCATTCTTTTTAAGTCACGTCGTACCTTGCAGTCAACACTGAGGGTTAGGGTCCAAAAACAATCAGGGTTCCCTTAAACTGACGTCGTATTTATAATATAAGCAGGATGAACATATTGTGAGAGAATACATTTAGACTGCAAGTTCAAATCTGGTGACATTTAAAGATAGTTGCAGATTAATTTCTAGAGAAACTGGACAGCAACAAAATAATTATCATGACTTTCTATAAAAACCAGAATGCAGAGCGTCTATCTTGAAGACATTAAACAAGAAACAAAACGTTGTTACCCCCCACCCCCCAACAGGGATAGTCTCCCGCTGTGAGGTGAAATTCCCCAATCTGGAATATCATAGGAAAGTGATGAATTTGATAAACATCACCAATAATGTTTGCAAGTATTAAAAAATACAGGAGATTCTACGTTTGGAGGCTTGACATCCATATTAAATCAAACTAAAGGTTGCAGATTTATCTGTGTTAGTATTTTGCAGGGGTGGATTCAGAGACTAGACAACCTCTCCATCCCCCCGAGCGCACACACACACACACACACACACCCACCCTGCTATCTCCACCCCCACCTATTGTTCGCTCAGCTCCCCTGCAGCTATGGGACAGTGAAGACGGGGAGAGATCGGGCTTTTTAGAGCTACTGTACAATATCCATTCACTCTCACATGTACTGCATGAACAGAATACACACACACACACACACACACACACACACACACACACACACACACACACACACACCACACTGAACCGCCCTGCTGTGTTTATTAAGGCCATGTGAAATGGTCCCGTTCTGGTTTCTTTGTTCACTCTTTCATTAATGTAGAACGAGGCTCAGCAGTAAAGTCTGTGTGTTTTCTCCTTTGTTGAACACAGAGTGAGACCTTCATCTGTCCCATTTATTATTCTGGACGTTTAAAGCTCTAAGAAGCTATTTGATATTATTCAGAGGTTTGAAACGGCTCGGCTTGACTTCTTTTGTCTTCATTTTGGTTGTTTGATTGTTCAAAGGAGCAGCTGAAGAGAGAGAGGTAATATTGGGAGGAGAGAGTAGGGGATGACATGCAGCTAAAGGCCAAGGTCAGGTTTGAACCCGCGGCCTCTGCGATAAGGACTACAACCTCTGTACGTGAGGCGTGCAACATAATTGTGCGTTCCATTTGATCTCCGAAGTCGGAAATTCCGAGTTGCCGGTGTAATACATCATCAGTAACGCCCCCGAAGTCGGAGTTCTGACTTGGGGAATCTTCAGTAGCCTGAGTTCAAATCCAATATGGCTGCTATGTGCATCGAAAGGGATGTCTAAGCTGTAACTATTGGGTTTATTAGCAGCTTAGTTGTTTTTTTGTGTAATGAAATCAATCACACCGACGGTATCGTGCAAGTTCTCTCTGTGGAGGTGTTGTCAAGTTATTTTCAGTCAGAAACTATCATGTAGTGTGTTGTTATCGTCTGGTATCAGCTAACAAAACAAAGTTACTCCTGGAGGTGTCCATGTTGCTTTTCCGACTTGCAACTGGAACGCAGTTAACTTAGGTGTGACATCATTCCCAGCTTCCAGATCTGAGTTCTGAGGTAAATGGAACGCAGCATAACAGCTAGGCTATCCGGCGCTCAAAGAATGTCCAATCTTGATTCATTTTATGGCACAAAGTGAAGAAATCCTGTAAATGAATATTTCATATACCACACAGTCAAATTTAAAATATTTTTTCTTAAAGGAGCAGTATGTTACTCTGACACCTAGTGTTTAAAATGGGTACTGCAGTCTAAATTCTAAACATTGTAGAGAGCTGTCTCCCCCCGCCCCCTCCTCTCTAGAGTCGATGATCACACAGGTCACCATGTGGTGGACACTGAAGCTTCAGTGTTTATCCAGCTCTGCATGGGTCTGTAAACCTTTCTGTGTTCTAACCTCTCTCTATTTTTCAAAAGCATCACGGCTGAACAGAGACAGGAAATGTTGGGAAAAGAGAGTGGGGAGATGACATGCAACAAATACACTCATTATAGCGTTGTGTTGCGAACTCTGTTGCTTTGTCTGCTACTTCCGTGTAGAATGCTAAATGGAGCAGCAAGAAGTAGAGTAGAAGAGTAGATCCTGAAGTATGTACTAATTCAAAAACAAAAACTTTAAATCCATGGATCCAGAATCGTTTTGAATCAAAAATAGATTCTGAATCGAATCGTGGCCCCAATAATTGAAATTGAATCGTGAGACACCCAAAGGTTCCCATCCCTAGTGTGTATGTGAAAACGACTTCTGACTACACTGGGTCCAGTGTAGACGATCCCCGCTGTGACCAGAACCTGAGACAGAGGTGGGAAAAACCAGCAAAGCGAGAACACCTATTGGTGTGGAGAGGCCGTCAAAACAACAGACCGGGCATTTGGTCTACACATGGTTTAAAGGCTAATGAACAACAACTTTACTACAAAAGGAAAGTCCTTTTTGGAATCCTTTGTCAAACTTTTTAGAGACGGGGGTAATCCATGGAAAGGACGAGTCCTTGAAAAAGTTACAGGAAGCTACCGTTGTGCCTGAATCAAGGACAAGAAGGAAATCCTTTTGTTAATAACCGATCTAACTGGATAACAGCAAAAGTCATATTTTCCCTTTTTTTGAATTCTTCAATTTGAGTACTCTGGAATAGAATCCTCCATTGAAGCTGTAACAAAGACAGGAAGTGGCGTCTCCTCCTCCAGCTCGGCTGCTTCCAACACGATCAATAAACAGCCTTCGGGCCGTCTGCCATTGACAGGCGTCTGTCTCGTGATGCTGCCAGAGAACGCTCAGCGCTAATGGGGCTGTTTGGATCACTACAGCTCTTGTCGACCCATCCATTGATGCTTTAGTGTTCCTGCTGCACACTCCAACTTCCTTTTTATCAAAGCACGGCCTGTTCAAGAGTTTAAGTCAGTCCTGTCTTTGAGTAGAAAACAGGATCTGTCCATGTTTGTTGATTTTTTCCGAGCAGAGCTCTTGAATGCGTACGTCTTCAATCAAGACTGCACAATCGCGAGGTACAATATTTCTGAGAAGCATGTGAAGGCAGCATAACCCGCTTTTACTGGAACTGTAACAAAAAAAACTATAACATCTTATTGTAAATGTTAATGGACACGACCGGAGTGATGTCACTGTCGCCTGTCAATCAGGTCAGCTACACGCCTTATTGTGAATAACTCTTATCCTTCATCAAAACATTCACCCCCCGTACATTGTGTGTCGATCGAGACATGAACTAATCACACCTATTTGTTTTTTGAACCAGGCTGTAAACATGTTAATCTCTGCTGTAAAAACAGACTTTTTAGAATGGGTGTGTAGGTGACTTCCTGTTCTTCTGCGGCCAGCCTCTAGTGGACACTCGAGGAACTGATTTTGTACTCAAGTTTTCAACACTTGGATCTAACCCGAGCATTTCTCAGAATTAAAGGTACTAGATTCATATTTCTGGTTTAAGGACAATTTGCCTTGAACATGACATAAGTAGGAAGTAAAATAAATCTCCCAACGAGCGACCTGTTTCAGAGAAAGTATCAACAATATACTGTGATTGTTGATCTCGGCTGTACATCTTGAATCTCATATAAAATGAGAATGAATGTGTATCCATGTCTCTCTAAAGGTGGAGGAGAATGTCCTACATTCAGACACTGGGGAAACCAAACGCAGGAAGCAGCGGCTATTTTTAGGAGAAGCTCACCCAGTTTGGTCAGAACAGAAGTGGACGGGTGCCGTCCGTCTTTGCCCAGATTCTGTCACGGCAGTGTGGTTTGTTAATTTTAGGGCTGGTGGTTTTTAAACGTAGCGTGGATTCTGTCCTGCAGCACAAGAACCCATAAAAATATAAAAACCAGAGTTTCAGATTGATGGATGTCAGAGGGGTCAGGATCCCATTCTGGGCTCAGGGACGACAAATATACAAAAATCTTACATTACAAAGCAAGGGAACGAGAACTGCAACCAAAGGTGGTATCAAAGTGCATCATGGGAATTGTAGGATAACCCATAAAAGGAACCTGAAGTCCGTACTGTAGATGTATGCCTCTGCTTCGTTCTTCTTTTTTCCTCTTTCTTGTTGGAAACTTTGTTTTCAGTTCCCTCAACTTTTGTCCTCAGTTTCATCACAAGGGTTGAAACTGTTTGATGCATATTTTTTTTTAACTTCTCATTTTTTGGTCGTTATTTATTTATCGCTGCCGTTATTTTAAAGTTGACAAGAAACACACGAGGAGTGCAGGAGGAGAGTTGCACAGCAGACGTTTACAGCTCGGTTCAGGTTGCAGAAATCATAAAAAGCTTCTTTTTGTAGACGACTGGATCACAAAAGTAAATCAAAGGGTGTTGGCTGTATTAGTCCTGATGGATCTGTCTAACACCTGGTCACTCTTTGGGTGTTGGGTGTATAAGTCTTGTAGATATTCTGATGGATCTGTCTAATGTCTGGTCATCTCTGTGTGTTTTCAGATTTGTCTAAGAATCGTCTGTGCGAGCTGCCGGACGAGCTCTGTCAGTTCATCTCTATTGAGACGCTCAGCCTTTACCACAATGGGATGCGTTCGTTGTCCTCCAGCCTGGGCAACCTGCAGGCCCTCACCTACCTCAACCTCAGGTAACACAACGCAAGAGACACACACACACACACACACACACACACACACACACACACACACACACACACACACACACACACACACACACACACACACACACACACACACACAGCAGAGGTAGAGCAGGTAACCATCTCAAATCTAACTTAGCTAACCATTTAAGAAAAACAACCATTTGCACTTTCTTTAAAGTTTAAAATAGAAGCCAAAGAGTCACATGGACTATTTTTCAACCTTCTTCTGCTAATTTTTTCTGCCACAATTGGGACTGGACTCACCATTAACATAACCTATTTCATCAGGTTTAACACCTTAAAGTTAATGAATAGGTTTTGGAAGGTGAGATCATTTGAAATAAAAGTTTAGATCTCATGGCTGTGATGCAGCATGAAGCAGTTTTCACACATGCACTCCTGAAAATGTCTAGATAATTTCAGGAGGACTGCTCCTGAAATCCTCCTGATTTGGTCGTTCACACATGCACCTCTAAGCAGGAGACTATCGCTGTCAGACAGGAGGGGGGGCGGGGGGTCTCCTGAGGTAAGACATGAAGTACAAAGAATGAGGCTGAAGTTGCGGACGAAGTAACAGAGCCCTCTATATGACACTATAATGAGAATATGTGTCTTTCTATCAATGCTACGTGTAGTTGAACAGAATCTCAATGTGATCTAAAGAGTGGAGAAGAACATACTGGAGAACAGGAAACATAATGCAGCAGGTTCATTAGAGCACGGAGATGGTAGAGGTGGCGTGCAGACAGTCTATGGTCGTGCAGCGATCACAGGGAATAAACGTCACCACCCCCTCTCACTGGCCCCTCCCACTCGCTCCAGGTGAATTCTCCTGATTATATCCTGCTGTGTTCTCACATCAGCTCACTCTGACTTTCTGCAGAACAAATACTTGGGGGGTCTGGTATTGTTCAGTCCTCATCATCATTTTTCTGGGTTTTTTGTTGTAAGCGGCCATCACTTCTTTAAGCACTTGGTTTATTCAATGCTTGATCCAAAGGCAACTGGACTGGTTTGGTCTGGACTGGTCTTCAAGATTTACAGCCAGTCCAGTTGCGTTTGGATCAAGCCTCGACTTAACCAAGACCAGGATGACTGAGAACCTACACAGACATGTTGCTTCCCTTTCCCCCCCACGGGCTGGGTCATAAAGTCAGTGAAGTCTGAAATTATTAAAGCTTAAGTTACACTTCATCAAATCGTTGCACCAACCTCTCAGTCCGCAGGAGCTTCATGTCGCCTCAGAAGCTCAGCTGCAGCTGTACTCAGTGTTTATTTTTGCTGGAGATGAAGAGAGGCGTTATGATCCTGTCCAAACCTTGTTGCAACAACAGAACCACACCAACACAAAACTGTAATATCACTGTTACTAGGAGACCAGAAAAGCCCTCGAGGTGTCCGCAGGGAAACGTGAAGGCTCCGAGCAAATCTACTGTGCATCTGAAATGAACAACGTTGCTGCAAATTCAGCGCAGACCATCTTCAAAATGAAACCACAAAATGTGTAAACGTGTGAAGTAATCTCGCTGTGTGTGTGTTTTTTTTTGTGTCCACAGTCGAAATCTTCTGTCCGGTTTGCCCCCGTCGGTGTTTCAGCTCCCCCTCCTGAGGGTGCTCATAGTCAGCAACAACAAGCTGTCTTCACTGCCCGCCTCCATATTCTCCCTCACTCACCTCCGACAGCTGGTGTGATATCTACACTCCCACACACACACACTAACACATCCACACACTAATCCTTCTGTGCTGATATTCTCTCTGCAGATAGCATGCAACAGCAAATTGTATCTTTCTATGTCCATGTGGGTCAGCTCACAGTATCACAGGTGTCTAAAGATGGATTTCTGATGTATTGATTCATGTCTGTTTTTGCACTTTTGGACCACAGGTGTGTAATATTTCTGTGTGTGTGTGTTCCTCTGTCAGGATGTAAGCTGTAATGAGCTGCAGTGTTTGCCTACAGAGCTTGGACAGCTCGAGTGTCTGAGGGACTTGAACCTGCGAAGGAACCAGATCACCACTTTGCCTGAAGGTACACGCCCATTTTACCTCATCTGTGGACCCAAAACCACCTAAACGCAGCAGACCAGCGGCTCTATAAGTGTTTTTTATTTTAGATGGGGCCCTGGCGATCAGAAACAAAACGCTCTGTGCACGGGGCCTTACTCACTAAATCTTCTCTCTTTCTCAACATCCAGAAATATCGAGCTCCCTCTCATCCGGCTTGATATCTCCTGCAACCGCATTTCCCACGTGCCCTTGTGTTACCGCCACCTGCGGCACCTCCAGAGCATTTCACTGGACAACAACCCCCTGCAGATGCCCCCCGCGCAGATCTGCTCCAAGGGCAAATACCACATCTTCAAGTTCCTCAACATGGAGGCATGCAAGAGGAGCACGGAGGAGCTGGAGAGACACCTGAGGCCCACGGGCTTCAACAGCTGGTGAGGGGGACGGTGCAGAGGGAGGGCTTGTTTTCTTTTTCATGCTTTTGGTTGAAATTCACTCGCACCTCTGCAGAAAAAGTCCTCAAAGGAAAAGTTTAATGGGGAAGGGGTTTGCATGAGGTTTTGTCTAACATGTTCAGATCAAGAAATACTTTATTACTTCTTTCCAAAAGTGAGTTAAAACCATCCTTGAGTGTTTAAGTTGCAGTCAGGATGTGGTTAGCTTAGCTTAGCATAAAGACAGGAAGCATGGGGGGGGAGCTAGCATGAGAGGTCTTGAAACAAGACGTGTCTGTCAGAGTGAATAAAACCCGAGCCCACAGAGTGGTCTGGTTCACAGGATAGATGTGCGAGCTCAATTTGAAAACACTTTGTCACTGAGTGTGTTCACATGAACTTGAGCATCCCGGTTATGAGCCTCATCCAGGTTCTGATCATATTCAGGGTTTGTTGTTCACATGCACGCAGAGAAACCTGGTTCTTCAGATTTCTGTATTCATCTTTATGGTTACTGCATCTTATTTGTGCAGACGCCTTTTCCAACTTAGAAATCTGAGAGACCACTGGGGCTTATTGCAGGCTTAGCACTTTTAAATGCCAACATGGCGTTACAGATATTGCATATCCATCTCTGTTTCTTCATGGCTCCAGAAGCAAGACGCTCTCTTTGGCGGCGCCATGTTTGTTTTGCTGATCCGTCACTTGGCTGAGGCACAAACATTAAAATGTAGAGAGTGGTTGTTGCTTTAATTTCATATCTACTGTTTCCTGGCAGCTGCAGCTTCTTACTTATTGTAGGATAAATAATATAAATCAAATGTGAAATGAACAAGAGGGAGAGTGTGTTGAATATTTATAAACTTGGATGGAGGCCTTTAGCGCTCTGGTGAAACTCTCCTATGAATCAGAGAGTACAAGGCCGCAGAGATAAGAGAGAATACTTCACAGAGAAGCTCAGAGGATAAAAACATGAGTCACTGTCCTCTAGCTTCATGAACCTCAGTGTGTGTGTGTGTTTAACGTCTCCTGATGTGCTCCCTGCAGCCTGTCGGACCAGGAGCTGTTCACAGGTCAGTTTGGAGGTCTGGACTCTGGATTCAACAGCGTGGACAGCGGCAGCAAACGCTGGTCTGGAAACGAGGTAAAACTAAAACACACACACACACACACACACACACATACACACACACACACACACACACACACAGTCCTGCTGGCTACACACTGAACATGGGAGAGCACAGACATGAGGACATTTTCAACCGATTTTTAATGTTTTAATCCTCCGAACACAAACACACACAAGACGACTCGAGGCCACACCTGCTGAGACGAGATCTCACAGAAACTCAAATGTGACTTCAGTAGGATCTCAAACATGATGGACAATCAATCAATCAATTAATCATTATTTGTAAAGCGCCAATTCATAACAAGTGTTATCTGGAGACGCTTTACAAAAAGAGCAGATGGGATAAGATGCAGGAAGGATTTCTCCTTTGTATTCCTCTCGTTCCTGTTTTCCACACTTCCTCTCCGCTGAGGTGGAGGTCAGAGCAGGTTGTGCATGAATGAGGACGGCGGTGGTTGTGGGGACGAGACAGTCTGATGGTGGAGGCTGGGCGTCAGTGACATCGGGTGGTAGTAGTGCCCGATCACCTCGCTGAAGGTTCGGGACCTCAGTCTACTGCCGGTACAAAGCCTCCTGGGCACGATGGATGTGGTCAGCGGGCTGTCCTCTCATGCGTTCTGGTTTGCTGCGATAAAAAGGAAACGTTAGCAGCCAGTACCCAACATCAGACTCGCTCTCATTGGCTCTTGCAGGTTTTCCATCGGACATAGCCTGACCTGAATCATAAAAATCAAACATGTTTGATATTTTCAATAACGTCTACAATACAACAAGATATCACAGAAATCCATCGAGTCCCACATGGAATCTGAAAAGCTCAGACGCTGCAGAAACGGTTTAAATGTTTCTTTGTTTGGGTTTTATGAGGTTCATTATCACCTACGAAGCCCTTCATAGCCTAGCTCCCCCCTTCCTGTCCGAGCTCGTCCACTGGCACGCACAAACCAGCTCTCTCACGTCTGCTCATACAAACCTCTTGTACCCCCGCCCTGCAGGACTAACCAGCGGTCCTGGGGGGACAGGGCCTTCACCATCACCTACAGCCACTAACAATACTATCCATCAATACTGTTGAGATCAATAACTCGTGGCGTTCTGTGTGATCAGTCAGCAGATGACTTCTCGGAGCGCTCCCTCCGTCTGGCCGAGGTCAGCAGGGACCAGAGGAACCTGGAGGAGGAGGACGAGGAGGAGGAGGAGGAGGACAGATCTCCTGTGGAGGCAAACAAAGGTGAGGGAGGAGGACACAATCAGAGGTTTTATTTTCTGTTTTTCGGCTTCAAACTGAAACGTTAAACTTGTTTTTCAGTGAACGGAGAGTGCTCGGCCGTGGACTTCATCGACAGCAGTGTGACGGAGGAAGAGGATGAAGAGACGACGCCTCCTCCTCCTCTCACGGCACCTCCTCCTCTGGTACTGATCTGTTGTGTCACATCCTCTCTTTGTTGCTCAAACGTTCGACCTCGTGTGTCGTCTCAGAACAGAAAGTCATTGATTGTGTCATTGATTTCCAGGAGCAGAAGCAGAGCTCTTTATCGCCCCCAACGCAGGACTCGTCAGCATGCAGGTCAGTGCAGTAAAAATCACGCTGTTTAAAAACACTCAAAGCATGCTCGCCTGTAACTCTGTGTGCAAAGAGACAAAGACACGTCTTTCCTTCCTGCTCGTTGGAGGTCACTCCGAGTCATTTGAAGAGCTGGGAAAAGTCAACAGACTGCAGCTCTCATTACTTACAGTCACTGTCTGATACTCACCCAGTCCTCCCCTTCATCACATCGCAGTAACACACCAGCACTGTCCAGATTTAACAGAGTGTCTCATAAACAGCACGTCACACCCGATACCATAGATACAATGTAGAGCAACAAGGACTCCCATCACACGGACCTGTTATCAGGTCAGCTACATTTTAAGAGAAGGAACATATTCACACATACTCCTTGCACACCGTCTGTGCCTCGCTCTTTAATGCTTCCACAATGCCGTAAGGCAATGTGAACACACAGGCTTAGGACACCGATATCACGCCGTTGTGGAATCAGTATGAATCTCTGGAGGTGTGATGACAGCAGAGCTTCGATATGGCGCTGTGTTGCGGAATTGCATAATGAAAAAGATACAAACGGCGCACTCACACTAGGCCCAGTTCCCCGTCCTGTGCTGAAGTGCGATGGTCCCTAGTCCCTCTAGGTCAGTGATTCTCAAAGTTGTGTCTTATTTTGAGTCATTTTGGTCCGATACAAGGTTCTGAAACAGTGGGACTCCGGACTCTTCAGGATTTCTCGATAATGAACTCTGAGTAGTCATGTCTGCCTTAATTCTCAGTAAACACTCACCCTCTGCACCAAAAGATTGTCAAGAGGAACGGTCACATAGATTTTACATCATGACCACGTTGAGTTCATGTGCTCTGTACTGTACAGAAGCCAACCTCACTGCAACCTAAAGGGCCTCTAGTGGGCGCACTTTGAACCTGCAGGATTATATTCAAAGCTGCTGGAGCAATTCCAAAACAACAACCCAAACTGTAAAAATATGTGTCAGTTTTAAAAACCCTGAGTTACCCTTCAAGGTTTACAAACTGTACAGGGTTCAGATCAGGTAATTAAACTTCTGGCTCGATGTTTCTAGCTGTTGCACAACCCTCCGCTCCCCCGTTATGGTCACGTCAAAGTTTCTGCAAAGCGGATGTTTCACTTCCAACACTTCCTTTGGGACTGCTCAAAATAGATGCAAAGCCTTAAATAGGAAACTCAACACGTGGTTTATAAACAGACTTTAATAACGCAAACAGCAGCTTTCAGAATAAAGATCAGTCAGATCTCTGCAGGAGATTTGAGGTCATACTCCAGTTCCTGCTGGTTTGGTTCTTCTGCTGTCACCTATAGATGTTTAACTGATTCCAGCATGTTTACAGTGTTTGATTTTTTAATAAATCTGTAATTAAATGTTACATTAGAGTCCTAGAGGGAGCAGAAAGGGGGCTTTGGATTATAGGACAACTGGCTTCTCTGAAGGCCGTGACACACCAAGGAGATCGTCGGCCGTCGGTGTGTCTGGCTCAGTCAGCCCCTGTCGGCCTTTTTTTTGCCAATTCGACATGGTGAATCGGCGTCTGCGGTTGGTGAGAGGGATCTCTGATTGGCTGTTTGGAGGTTTAATTTCTCTCCAGCTCTCTCAGCCCCTTGAACATGCCGCTGTAGTCTCCATGCTTTTACCCATTAGAGCAGTTTCTCCTTATTTGTCTCCTCCTTCTCTTCTTTTCTTTTTCCACTAAAAGACCAAGGACTGACAACGCCAGCGCCATTTTAAACTTCTTATCAGACATTTTTCTCCATTAGTAGTCTACCTATAATACGAGTGGTGAGCGACAGCGGTGTGAAAATGGTCTTCTGGTATCATAACAACAGACTACCGCCCTGTTGGCATGGAGACTTATTTCCTCTCATGCATGAGCAGAATGTACGTGGTGGTTGGCTGTTGGCTGTAGTCTTCGCGGGTTGTTCAAGTGCAACTTTTTGGCCAAGACGTGAGTCGACACCACAGACGGCCTTCGTCACCATTAGTTCTTAGCCCTCTGCTTGTTGTGTCAGGATCTTTAACCTGTAAAGAAAAAGGTGAAAATGAAAGATAATAACTGGATATATTTTCATGATTTGTTTCTTTTTTTTTTTGCTCTGTCACCTCATCAGGTCCAGCCTCCATGTGGATGTCGGCCCCCCTTCATCATCATCAGCCTCGTCCTTGCCCCTGTCCCCCTCCAGCCCCTCCCTGGAGGAGAAGAGGAGGCCAGGCAACCTTTCAATCTGGCAGGAGAGAGAGCGTCTGCAGCAGCAGCAGAAAGAAAAGAGCAGGTCAGAACTCACTTTTTATGCCCGATAAATAAACACAGGACTCTGATTTTGACTCTGTGTCATGAGTAAGAAACACTTTCGTTCTCCATTATTAAAAAAAAAACCGTTTTTTTCTTCTTCTGTCGAAAATCTAATTTCTGCAGCTCGCTGAAGTCGGCCACCAAAGCAGGAAGTTATGTCACAACCGCAGCTCAGTCAGGAAGTTCCTCAGCGTAAGTTCAAATTGTTAAACAGATGACACACACAAAAGAGAGCAAAGGACACACACACACACACACACACACACACACACACACACACACACACACACACACACACACACACACAATCACTCGCCAGGTTGTCCTGACTTCCATTCATTCCTTAATTTCTTCACTACATAATGAATCAGAAGTGTCAGGGTGTGTAAACTGTTCTGTAGAGAACAAACTGAAGGTGTTTGTCTCCCCCTAGTGGTGGCTCTCCAGAGAACAGCAGCTCACACGCAGGCCTGCGGCAGAGATGTGCAGTGAGTATTTAATCATTTTAATAATCAGCTAGTTGATGTTTTTTCACAGATAAATAAACTAGACTCATGATAATAAAAATACTCTTTTCTTTTGTTCTGTTTTATTTAGAGCGCTGATCAGATGACCGCGGTGCATCCTCTAACTCTTCTGCAACGTTCCAGCAGCAGAACAGGTATTTAACACGCACTCAGCTGTGGATCAGTGGTAGAGTCAGTCGCCTCTTAACCTGAAGGTCGGGGGTTTGATCCCCAGCTCCTGCAGCCACATGTCCGATATGTCCTTGGGCAAGACACTTGCTCCCACTGCTTCATCAGCGGTGTATGAATGTGTATGAATGGATGAGTTAATACTGATGGACTCTTAACTCAGCAGCCTCTACCATCAGTGAATGTGTAGATGTGACCTGCGGTGTAAAAGAGCTTTGAGGAGTCAGAAGACTAGAAAAGAAATATACAAGCTCAAGTCCATTTAACATTTTACAAATCTCGTGTTGAATCTGAAACACCATTTTAAACACTAAAGTCACACAATATGGCCACGTTAGACCAGCTACTATCATTTCTACATATGTTGCAGACGTAAACACCGTTAAATCTTGGAAGGGTGAACTTCAACTCAATCTACTGAAGGACGGTGGATTTAAAACGGCGTTCAGAGTGTCGAACATGTCAAATCGTTCTGATTGTTTCTGTCAGATTTCCCGTCGTCCCCGAAGACATCCCCTCCCCCCGGCCAGGCTCAGAGACCAAACAGCTTCCTGTTCCGCACCTCATCCCGCAGCAACGTCAAACCCACAGGTACACACACAACACAACACACTCTACGCCTTCATTCAGAAACAATCTAACTCTGTCCTCATGTGATTTTGTCACTCAGGCTTCACGCTGGGCGAGTCCGGAAGGTGCGAGTCGCGCACGATGCTGCGTTCACCTAAAGAGGAGCGAGTGGACATCACACAACTGCGCAAGGTGAAACAAAACAAAACACTCTTTAAATTAAAAACAGACCTCAACGGTGACGTTCCGGAAGTAAAAACCCCATTCATATTCTCCATAGTGGATTTCAATATCAGCCATAATGTCATAACCATCACAGGTAGACTGACCACGAGCTACCTGAGCGTGAGACGATGGTTTATGCTCCTGTAGGAGACACAAGTTCCTATGATAGCAACCTCGTTATAAGAGAAACATTTATTATTTGTGATATCTGGGAGAAGAACTACACTACCCACAATCCTAGAGTGTCACAGCAAAGTCTCTGATTGGTGGAGCTTACTGTAACCATAGCAATGTTCCTGACCCTCTGCACTGAATGCAAACGGATAGTATAAACACTTTAACGACGACTAAAGGTACTTTTAAGAAGCGATGTCATTTGCAATTCTGCCGTTCTGGGCGCAGAATCAAATATTTTATAGTCCTGAGTATTCAGGTAGCTGGTTGTCTCGGTAACAGGCTTCAATCTCATGATGTAAAGACTTTGTGTAATGTCAATGGAGGATTTAAACAGGGAACCAGAGGCGCCGAAAAAGTGGGCGGTCACTGTTGAGCTCTGCAGTTTCACATTTATTCTGTGTCGGCCTCTTTGCACGGTTTATAGAAAGTATAAGATGCTTTAACAAATTAAATGTTCATCTTCCTCCACTCCTAATCCAGGGTGTGAATATTCTGCATCCTGTAGATAAATTCTGTGTAAGAAGCGTTTCAAAGCTGACAGGGACATTAAATCTGACGGTTGTTTTTCTCTCCTCAGACTCTGGAGTCTCGGCTGAAGATCAGCCTGCAGGAGGATCTGGGCGAGGCGTTGTCCAACGGCACCGTGCTCTGTCAGCTGGTCAACCACATCAGGCCGCGCTCCGTCTCAATCATCCACATTCCCTCTCCGGCAGTGGTGAGTCTCACACACATTTCCACCTTCATCAGTCGATTTTCTCTCGTTTCAAACAACACTCGAGTCTGTTTTCAGGAGTTTAAAAGCTTCACTCTTTCCTGCTTTCCCTCCGTCGGGTCAGCTGATATAACTATCTTCATATCCTGGTTTTTATTTAAAGTTACAAGATGTTGTTTGGGACTTGTTAGGAGCTAACCTGCAGCAGAGTGAACCAGCTGAGCGTAAAAAAGCAGGTTGTCACTCTAACGTCTGACTGAGCTACAGCTGACTTACACTCCTGCACATTGTCTTAATGGCACAAACATTTTGGCAAAGTTTCCAAACAGAAACTTTGCAAACATTTTGCAAATACGTTATTAGTCAAACTAAAGCGATAAAGGAAGAAAAGAGCAGGACATCCAGAACCTCTGTTTCACAATCAATGAGCAGCTAACATTTAAGGTTCAAGTGGCTTCAATTGCCACGGTCGTATCGATTTGCCCGTTACAACATCAGGAAGATCAGACCTGACCTGTCAGAGCTGCACAGCTCCTGGTGCAGGATATCAAACCCCCTGCAGATGATCCAAAAAGCAGCAGCACGACTCGAATGTTTTAATGACTCATCAGTTTTGATTTGATGAAGGATAAGAGTTATTCACAATAAGGCGTGTAGCTGACCTGATTGACAGGTGGGCGCGGTGTAACAGTTTGTCAGGAGGTTTAAAACCCGCCTCAGCTGCAGCTCTCAGTCTGTGGTTAGGTTGACTGAAAGTTAGACTGAGACAGCATTTCCAGCATGGAGACCGCCATCGATGGGACTCCAGCGCCCCCTGCAGGAACAGACGGGTGACCTCACTCAGGCTTTGGTCTGATCGGACTTAAAGCTGTTTGTTTTCACTTCCTGACATTGTTTGCTCCTCTTTAGATCCTTGGTTGTGTCGTTCTTACTCTCTGATGTTCTGCGTTTTGGATAAAAGCGTTTAAAACATAACAACCAATGAAAACAGAGCAGCATCTTTGACAAAGTCATTTTTTGTGTCCAACTTGAAGTTTCCTCAAAGTTTCTTTTTGTTCTTTTTCAGCCAAAGCTGAGTTCAGCAAAGTGTCGACTTAACGTGGAAAACTTCCTCACTGCCTGTCGTAAGCTCGGCGTCTCTGAGGTAAAGTGTCCCCCTGATTCTCTCTCTCCTCTCCTTCTGAGAAAAGCACACATTTTATCATCCACTATTTTTCTTTAATATACATTGAATGTGTTTTAATAACACAATGTTTAGTTTGTGCTTGAAGCTCAGTTGTGTTGCAAGATGATTCCTGTGGGTTGGACTGATTTAAAGCCTTTAAAACATTTAATTTATTATATTTATTCATCGTGTTTTTAATCAGTCCAACCGTCTCTGCTCTGTGTTTTGTCTCTCTTCTTCTTCTCTCCTGTTTTTTAACGTCCTGTGTTATCCTCCTGTGTGTCCAGACGGACGTGTGTGTGTGCTCTGATGTGCTTCTGTGTAAGCTGCCCGCTGTGTCGCGCTGTGTGGCGGCGCTGCTGGCCGTGGGGGAGGAGAGGGGGGAGACGGCGGAGGAAGACTCCCCGCGCCACTCCTCACCTTCATCGTCCTCCTCCTCCCTGTCCTCGTCTTCATCGCTGCTGCCCACAGGTTTCCTCTTCTTCTACTGCGCCGCCATGGCCCTGCTCTACGTCCTCTACTGCTACCTGTTCACCTAGAGGACACACACTTACTGAACACACACACACACACACACACACACACACACACACACACACACACACACACACACACACACACACACACACACACACACACACACACACACACACACACACAGCTGCAGTCTGTGTGTGTGTGTGTGTGTTTATCGAGCACCTTTTAGAAACAGAAACACTAAAGCACAGAGCAGCTCTTCACTCAGAGGGATGAGAGCTCGACACTGACGGACAAACAGAGAAATGCCTTAGTGTAGTTTAGCCTTCACTCTGACAGACTTTCCTGAGGTAGAGCTGCTCAGAAAGAATCTCATTGGTTGAGACATGAGCGGCCCGAGCAAAAGAAACTCAAACTCAGAAATCCCAAACATGTATCTACGATGTTTAAAGCCAGCCGATGAACTGACTGCTGAACAGTTCTGACATTAGAAACCGAGTTTAACTCCGGTGATTACGGTACTGAACCCTCCACTGCTCTCAGGAGCTTCTGTGCTTTACAGTCAAACTCCGACACAAACATTAAACGGTCAAAATGCTTCATCCTCTCGCTCTAATGGAATCAAAACGTTCCCTCCGTCGTCTCAAAGTGGGTCCGCTTTGCAGTTTTTTAACCTCCAGCTAAATGCCGTCTGCTGAGAAGTTTGTCTGAAAATATCTGAGAGCTGCAGCTGACATTTGACCTCCACAAACTCATGTTGATTATCGTACTCGTCAGCTGATAAATCCGACACGTTTACACACGTTACACTTAATTGATGTTATTAATGACGATGCTTTGACGTTACAAATCTATTAGGCCTTGCGTCCACCTGGCGTTTCCCCGGTCAGGAAAGCGCTCGGGAGTGTCTGCATGAAGTGTTTGTGCGCTTAGAAGAAAAGCGTTGCACGTCCATCCCGTCTCTATGCCAACAGTCTGTTTACAACGTCCGCTGTATGACCGACACTGCATGTTTTATATTTGAGATCGTTTTTTTATCTGATCAGACACAGAGGAGCGAGGAGGATGTGAGTACAAGACACGATCTGTAGGCGGCTAAAAAACGGGGAATATCAAACATTTGGAAAAGAGTGGCAGTGACGTAAACAGGGCCTTTTTATTCCTTTGTCTAGAGAAAGGTAAATGACAAAGTTTAAAACACTTTTCCAAAGCTGGAGACAAATTTACAAATGACACAATCTTGCCGAAAAGGGAACGTACTGAGCGCTGGGAGTGATCTGAAAGAGTGAGCGGCCATTTTGTTTGTGTTGATGAGACACAAGTTTGTGAAGTTTGTGCTGTCTCAGGCGGGTTCCACAACTCTATAGTCTTTACGCCAAAGCAAATTCAGTCACTCAGTCACCTTCGGGTCACTTAGAGCATTTGTTACATTTTCTTTCCAGCAGGATTCTGTCGTTTGTCCGGCCAGACCGAGACATAACTGTAAGAACTCAAAATCTGAACGACCTGCAGACACGGCATGAGTTTGATTGGCAAAAACTTGAATCTGTCTCTCGTTCTGAAAGTCTAAAATCAATCTGGATGTGACAGAATGGGGGTTTTAAAGTAGAGGTCAAAACAACTTTGCTTTAAGTTTTGCAGCTTTGGCCTTGAGTTTATTCAGTTATTAAAAACTAGTCGATGGGTTTATAGCTGAAATGTTGCAGCATAAAGTCAGTCGCTTGTACCTGGAAACACAAAAAGACACCAGCAAAGTTTGAACCAAACACAGACCAACTTCTCATTCTTTAGTCCAAAGTCTATGCATCAAACTGGAAAAAGTCCTGTGATCCAAACGATGATGAAGCTTTATGTGTCTGAAACAAATCCCTCGTTCACAGCTGAGTCCTGAGTCTGTGGTTCTTCTGCTCTGCTCTCTAACTTGTTCGGAGCAGCTCCACCTCAGAAAGATCTCCACTCTCGTCTGTGTTTGTAAAAGAGACGCTGTAGAAGAAACCTGAGACTGAACTGTGAATGTGATTCTTTGTTTTTTATAGCCTTGAGTTGAGAGCACGTTCTCAAATATGACAGTGAGAGAACTGACACAGTGCCTCCTCTCACTGAACATTTTTTATTTAAATGTCTGCTATGCTTACTGTGAGCAGCAGGGGGCGACGTCGCTGCATTAATCCCCCTGCAGGCTTCAGACTGACGGTACATCCTCCTCCATGAGGTCTGTGTGTGCTTGCGTGCGTGTGCGCGTGTGTGTGTGTGAAGTCTTTTTTTGTTTGTCATGGTCACTGGTCGCTCTGACCGGCTGACTCCATGTTTGTATAAATGTAAACAGGCTGTTAAATTATTGTTGTTTTTATTTATTTTGAGTTCTGTTGTTTGTGTGGAGACACGGCAGAGGCTGAATCAATGTGTGTGCTTTAACTCACGCTCACCGCTGAATTAGACAAAATCAATGTTTAATTATTCAGAGTTTAAAAAAACAATCGATTGTTTAAAACTTCTCCCGTTCGATTGATTGGTTAATAATCGATTACCTGGAGGCTTTAACGCCTTCGACCGAGCGTCAAAGAGGCCTCTGCTGTTTCGACCGCTCGCTGCGTCCGGCTCATTGCTCACAGAAGGTCAATGTCTGCGTCTTAACCAAAATTAAATCTGATTATTGGACTCATGGAGGGCGTAAAAAGGAAATATGGAGGTCAGATTTTTGTGATTCTGCTGCTGAAGCATAATTTTTGTGTCTGCTCTTCTCAAAGCCTCTAAAACGACATTTCAAATATAATCACACCCTTTAACTCTCCGCTCAAACTTATTCATGATGTAAAAGATAAACTTTCTGGAAAAATCTACTTTTTTATTGAATGATATATTCCCCGTATCAACAAACAGCTTCAGTTTAATTTCACTAAAAAAGGAAATTACCGGGAATGATTCTCTTAAAGGTCACATATTCTCGTCCTCTTCAACCAGTTTAAATAAGTCTCAGTGCTCCCATAAAACATGTGTGTGAAGTTTCTTGTTCTAAATCCACTCTGATCCTGTATTTGATCATGTCTATAAACCCCTCTATTTCAGCCCTGCTCAGAACAGGCTGTTTCTGTGTCTGTGCCTTTAAATATGTAAATGAGCTGTGTCTGACCACGCCCCCTCCTCTGGAAGGGCTTGGGTGTCTCGGGCTTTCTCGCTCCATGTCTTACTGTTTACTGTGAGAAGACAGACTCAGAGGGCAGAACAAACACCTAGCTGTGGGAGTGTCACCCCAGGGGTTATTGCCCTTTGTGATGTCATGAAGGGAAAATCTCCAAACGGCCTGTTTGAGCACACATTTTCTAAAAAGTGGAGCAGGCAAAAGACGGAGAGGATGGACTTTTCTCATCATTGGGGGGTTTGTAGACAGACTAGAGACACATATTAGAGTTAGAGGAACATGGAGAAGTGGATTTTACAGAATATGTGACCTTTAAAATATGCCGTCCAAAAAGTTAAATATTTAAGAAACAATTTTCAATTTGTAATATATAATATATTTGGCAAAATTAATCAATAATGTAATGAATTATTGATACTAAACTCGTTATATGTTACTTGTTCTTGCCACTTTTCATTTGATGTCAACTTTAAGTCCTATTTCTAAACAAGCTCCACAAGCAGAAAGGTTTACAGCCCGATGCAGAGCTGGCTAAACACTGAAGCTTCAGTGTCAACCACATGGCAACCTGGGGAGAGACAGCTCTCTACAATGTTTAGAATTTGGACTGCAGTACCCGTTTTAAACACTAGGTGTCAGAGTTACATATTGCTCCTTTAAAACATTTCATGAAAATTCCCTAAATTAAATATTTAAAAGTTATGAGTTTAATTAATGTATTCAATTATTGTTCCGTCACGTCACCACTATTGAACTCTTCTGCGCCGCGTCGTTAATCAGCCAGAATGAAACCACGTCGTATAGTTTTATATCTTTATTTACTCGGGACACAAAGTGTATAGGTTCACAGTTTATTTTATTCAAGCGTCCACGTCTCTACTGCCGTCTGATTGTCTCAGATTGTCCACTGTAAAAAAGATGTCCGCCCTTGTCTGAAGTTTTTTTATTAGCCTGCTGTTGATATTACATTTATACTGTTTCAATTCAAATGTATATTTTATAAGTGAAACTGGATAAGCAACGCTCGGTAGTTCATCCACTGGCTTCGACCGAGTTATATTCTTTATTAACACGCTAGCTGAACAGACATGCTGTTTGTATTTTATATTTATATGATACTCTTGTATTATTACTGTTAAGTTTATATAAATCTATATGTAAAGGTTTTTTTTCTCCGTCCGCTGTAAAGAAATTATTAAAACTTTTGAACTTTGAAACATGTTGCTGATTGTCTGCTTACCTGCTCTCGTGCTTTTGCTTCATGCGCCAACATGTTCTGTGTACACGATCAGAGTATCTGCAGCCGACTAACACAACGACCACGGTGCTCAAGGAACACTTAAAAGGCTTCCACATCTCATGACCTTCATAGGATGGAGTTTGCTCAGGTGTCACCACAGGAACTAAAAAGAAATATATTTGTCAAATATGGTCGATTTCAAATCAATGATTCTGTCTGAAGGTTTAAACTGGATTTGGCTCGTTACCGCCCGCTTTAGACAACAGAAGGAACACGTTATTACCACACATCAACATATATGCATTTTAGTGTACAGCTTATGTATGTTTGTATGTGTGGATATATGAATGTACATCTATGAATGGTTTATAATTAATAGGTTTTGAAAACATTTTGAAAACAACACAGCACATGAGTGGAGTGCACCCAAACCACCAGCGACATTATCAGATTAAACTTTCACAAACTGGAGATTAATGCAAATAACAAGAGTGATGAAGCGTACAATATATATGTATCATATGTATGCATGTATGTTTGCATACATATGTTTATCCATGCATAGACTTCTTAAATACTTTATGGAAACAGAAACGCAGCAGAAGGAAGTAGATCACAACATGTGTGTTCTTGTGGCCCAGTGGATAGGTCGGGGGTTCGATACCCAGCTCCTGCAGCCACAGAATATAACCCAACACAGGAAATAGATAAATGCAGGAATGTAACTAAACTTAAATTATAAAGTTTCAAATA